TGAGGGTATACTTAAAATACCATGTCGATAAACAATCTGAGCCATCCCTACACAGACAGTGCTGCCACCTGTCTTATGATATTCTTGCAGTGTCTGTCCAGAACTTTTCTCACAATTTCTCGATCAAACACTACAAGTCTCATATCGTTAGGAAGGCCTTTGTTCGAGGCCATACATTCAGAATCACCATACCTAATTTTTACTTAGTCAAACTTTTTAGTTCAACGAGTATGGTACACGATGGCGTAATGTCATTGTCATCACATGTCAATTGACTTCAATTTCAACTTAAGTTTTTTTACTTGCAAAGTATTTCACACAAACATCACTTACCCCACTTATAATTTCCTAAAAAAATAACAATTTATATGGGCTTTCTCGACTTATTTAGGTTTAAAATATGCATGTGCAGTTAATTATAAAACACATGTTTATCACTTAATGAACACGCATTTCAGACTTTTCTGCATATTCAGCTTAGTTTGTCTTCATTACAACTTTACATTTACTTTACCTTGCAATAATTTAGCTTCGGTTCATTTTATAAGCTGTTACTAGTTCTTTACTATGGGATTTATTCTTCATTTTCGTGAGTTTCTTTGTTTCAACTTGTAAAACCGTATCATACACTGAACGCTCATGACTGTTTCATACTCTATACGCTATTATGAATATCATTACTTTACTGTTTACATTACGTGTAGCTCTTATTAAATACAATTACGTCTATGTGAGTTTCTTTGTCTGACTGCGGAAAAATCTTTTTCAAATAGACCAGGGTTTATTGATCTAACACATAATGCCCGTAAGAAAGCGTTGCTTTAATGAAAATGATAGACTAAGGAAAGTTGAAGAAGGCCATGAAAATTACCATAAATGTTTTGCAGTTTGTAACTAGTCTAAAAATATACTTTTACCAGCTTATACCACCTCAAGTGCCCAGTTTATTTTAAAACATTAAACACATATATATATAAATCTATAGCTCATCTGTGATTTTAGGAAATATTTCCAATGATTGTGAACGAAAGCATATTTTCCCTCCTAGCCATGACATTGCATAAATACTTTAATTTTCACTAATTCTGCATTGAAGGTTTTTATAACATGAGCGCCATCTTTAAACAGATTCGGTCTTCAGTGTCTTGTTTATCGTTTTGAAATTAGATAAGTACTAAACTATGGCCGATATGTTAAGGATGTAATGCAAAAGTGGGAAATCTTAGCCCCCTTTGTTAAATATATATTGCTGCTTGATTCAGTTGCAATATAAAGGGAGCCAAGTATTTCCAGTTTTGTTTCTTTAATTTACACATTTTTACATCTTTAGGTTTGCTCTTTTATATAGCTTGAATATTTTAAATATCAAATCTTTATATGGCTGACCCTTTATTCTAAGTTGGCTGGTTTTGTACACGTAACAACATCTAATCAAATACACATGAATATGAAGTTATCTCAGTTTATGTAAAAAAAAAACTGCTTGGGAGAGATAACAAAACCAAAATGGTGAAATGGGTAAAGCTGGGGAATGTTACCCTTACAGATTAATCCAAGTTCACATAGTTTGGCAACAATCAACAATTCGGTGGCATAAAGGACAGCAGTATAATGATCAAGGTACAACATGTATAAAGAAGCATACTGAGGAACTATGATGAGTGTGATCTGATGTTCTTTTAAAAACTTAAGTACAGGGTGAAACACGAATTTAATTTGCATTGTTTTTGAAACATTGATATTAGCCATCCCTAGATTTACTTCCTTTTTTGAAGAGTTTTTTATTTACTTGTTTGCATAGATGTTCGGGATTATTTTGTAAGTAATTATAGCTTTGTCCATTTAAATTTAAACCAACGTGAATTTTTTTTATATTAAAATACCATTATCAATGGAATCGTAACTCATAAATCGCTTTTATCAGGATTTCAAATTAAAGTAGATGGAGCATAACCGTGAAAACAAGTTCTCATTAACTGATCAAACAAAGTATTTTATTATAACCCTTACAATCCCGTAACTTATGTAAATAAAACTTAGATTTGACAACATCTATAAAGCTATTAAATTTACGTTTATATAAATGAAACATACATACATATTCTTTATAACGTAATTGCATTTAACTTAGATAAGGATAACATATTAAGCTTATATTGAAACTAACAAACCAGATAAATTTAAGGTTAATGTTTTATAAATTGTTACCTTATCAGCAGCACACCTTCAGATATTAGTCGGACAGTTTACTTTCAGAACGTAATACATTACCTCAGATATACCTGCATATTTCAGAAAGATGGTTTAATTTCCTACGTTATGTATCGGTGGTATACTTTCAGACAATTTACTTTAAAAGTGTAAAACTGTATCCCCTGGACATATCATAAACAGTTTAATCTGTTTCAGATATTCATGCAAAACTACATAAAAGCTAACCTTTCCTAGTTGTGAACTGACAGACAAGAAAGCAGATAGTTAAGGGCATCAACCACCACCTCTTAGGCCATTTTAATGGATGAGTGTGATTTATCCATCACTCTTATAATGTACTCATAGCCCTAAGGTGTACAGCGCAATTTTTTTGTGATAACAAGTCGCAGACCACAGACCCTCGAATCCACAGTACGACACACTAAGCGACAGCTACACCTGGCTCACATATCACAGTGAGTGACTTTACAATAATACTTGAAGTTAATCTTCTACTATAACAAAATCTAGAATACAAAACACTTTCAGTAACTTCTGAGTAGAATACCATCAGATACTAGAAAAAAGTATACACTTTATGTGTGTAAAATAACTAAAAATACACTTAGGTATTGAAAATCAAAACATTTTTAAATGTTGCTGAACAACAAGATCTGATACAAAAAACACTTTTCAAACATAACTTTGAGTAAACACGTAAATATTAAGTTCGAATCACTGTATATAATATTACAAAATTTAAACTTCGTGACTTGGTGAGACAAAACACTTTTAGTAAAAAATCGGAAAATATCATTTTGGGCTTGTCTAACTAACTTACTCTGTTCAAAGTTGTCTAACTTTTCTTTAAATTACAACACTTATTTCGTTATGTATATGATTTCAATTTAAATAAAAACATGCACTACATATGACAGTTAATACATTATAAATATTTATGGATATTTAGCAGTTTTTATCTTTCACAACCAAATGTATAAATTGTCAGAAAATATTATAATTTAAGAAGAATATCCGACAAATTTTTAGGTCATACAAATACTCACTGGTTTACTTAACACAAAATTGTTATAGAAGATCTGAAGTAAAGAAAAATAGAGATAATATTTTAACTTTTAAAACTTAT